CTTCTTTATTTACTCTGAAATTATAGGTCTCATCTCCTAATACAACTGTGTTCTTCATTTACTCGACAGCTGTACACGGAGATGAGACCTATAATTTTAGAGTAACTAAAGAACACAGCTGTACACGGAGATGAGACCTATAATTTCAGAATAAATAAAGAATACAGCTGTAACTAGGAGATGAGACCTATAATTTTAGAGTAACTAAAGAACACAGCTGTACACGGAGATGAGACCTATAATTTCATTCTTTATTTACTCCTAAATTATAGGTCTCATCTCCGTGTACAGTTGTCTTCTTTATTTACTCTGAAATTATAGGTCTCATCTCCTAGTACAGCTGTATTCTTTATTTATTCTGAAATTATAGGTCTCATCTCCGTGTACAGCTGTGTTCTTTATTTATTCTGAAAGTATAGGTCTCATCTCCGTGTACAGCTGTGTTCTTCATTTACTCTGAAATTATAGGTCTCATCTCCGTGTACAGCTGTGTTCTTTATTTATTCTGAAAGTATAGGTCTCATCTCCGTGTACAGCTGTCTTCTTTATTTACTCCTAAATTATAGGTCTCATCTCCGTGTACAGTTGTCTTCTTTCTTTACTCTGAAATTATAGGTCTCGTCTCCGTGTACAGCTGTCTTCTTTATTTACTCTTTCGGTAAGATTCCTGTATTTTCCTCTTTATTAGGCTCTGATGTCCAGTAAATGTTTAATGCTTTTTTTATCACTATCATGTTTTTTGTGCAAAGCCAGAAATGGGTCTAATGTGTAGTTACTCGTATTACTTGTTTAGTATAGTATTAATTATGCTCTCATTTAATAGTTTTGTATCGCTCACAAGACGTTGTTAGGGAGGATTGTGTTAAGTTTTGCGTATAAAGATGCCCAGTGTTTCAAGGTAGTTAATCAGTGAGAGTTTCTGAAGCAAACAGTTAGCCTTGGGTGTTCCGTAAATAAAGTATACTCAATTCTTTCTTAAATGTTATATCCAACAATCATTAACAGCGAGGGGTACATATCTGACGAAACTATGCATTCTAGTCATTATAAGTAAGAACGTAGTCATATTTATTACTGGGTTAATTTGTAATTCTGATCTATGCTGGAAGTTTGCTTTGATTTGATCAGAAGTTAATATTAATTGAACAACATCCAATGTCCAAACAAATATACCATGTCTAAAGCTTTAGAACAATTTTAGAACAGTAAACGCTAGAATAACGTTCTTTCTTTCTTGGTTTTCTTACATTGGAGTTACATGGTGTGAAACTGTAATATCTTATAGTTATGTAACAATAGCTGTAACTCATTGTTCGTTTGATAATATGTATGCTATTCAGAAAAAAAAAGTTCTGTTTTTACGATTTCATTCAAACACACTTGCTTTTGGACATTTCTCGCTTCTCCGGCTCGTTAACAATAGATACCCATCATCCTCTTCTCATTTATCTTCATTATCGTTGTACTGCTATAAGTGTCAGTTCAAACTAATTATAAGAAGAAAACATAAAATCATACCAGTTTAAGCCTTAAAAGTAATATTTGCATTTGTCCTGTTTTCAAAATACTTTAACTTAAAATGTTGGAGACGGTTTTAATGGGTACTAAAAAACTTTATTTTGAATGTGCAACGTTTCGAGACGGTTTTAATGGTTACTAAAGAAAACTTTGTTGTAAATGTACAACGTTTCGAGATGGCTTGAATGGGTAATGAAGAAAACTTTATTGTAAATGTACAACGTCTCGACAGTATTATGCCATCATCAATAAAGTTTTTTTCATTACCCATTCAAGCCGTCTTCAAACTTATATTTTCTGCCCCCCCCCCCAGTGGCACAGCGGTATATCTGCGGACTTACAACGCTAGAAACCGGGTTTCGATACCCATTGTGGGCAGAGCACAGATAGCCTATTGTACAACTTTGTGCTTAACTTAAAAAAAAACTATGTTTTCTAAAAAGTGTGTTCCTCGTCATCAGATTGAAATATTTTAACTTAGCTCATAATTTCCTCTTTTCTTTTTTTCTGAAACCTGAAATTGAATTAAGAATACTCTTGTTTTATGTATGATTTAGAAAAAAAAATGCGATTTATGCATCTAAGTAAGCACCTTAAGTTATATGATTCGCTTTACTAACCATTGTTTTGTTTTTTCTACATTTCAAAGAAATTTATCATGTAGAGCCGTGGTGCGCAAACTGTGGGGGTGTACCTCCCAAGGGGGTACGGAGAGTCTGTAGATGCATATAAGTTATGTCTGAAAGTGCAAGTGTAAAACGTAAACAAGGTTTAAAAACTACTGTACAAATTTCACTACTATTAAGTAATATAGTAACAATTAACATGGAAAGATGACACGTACGTTATCTACACAAATAGGTTATAAGAATGTGAGAGGAGGGGCACATGTTTAGAAGGGAAAAAAATGCCATAAAAAGTTTGAGCACCTCTGTTGCAGGGAATTAGTGTAATTACTCGATGAACGTGACTGACTTGACTTTGAATATATCTTGACTGTTTACAGAAGCCTGAAAAACTTTCAATATAATATTTTTTGTCATCTGTTTTCATGTACGTGATATCCCTAAATTATTTTTACTGCATGACATTTTCTTAGAAAAGAAAACACAAACACCAGTGAAAGATATAAAGGCAACCATATGACCATTCAATTGTATAACTTTAGTTGGCGTGAGCTTATTGTTACGAACTTCACATGTTCATAGTAAACCAAAGCTTATGATTTTCTCTAGTGGTCTGCTTATCATATATAATGAAGATTAAGCCAGAGTAATATTTGCATGTTAATTCCTGATGCCACTGATACTCATAAAATACAAAGTCTCTATAAACGTTGAGTTTTCAAATCAGTAATTAATATACATACATATATATTTTCTCAATGTAAATCTGTGAATCCGGATATAAGCAAATGCTAAAATATTGGACTATTTTCAGTAAATCACCATAATAATAAATCGTTAAATATTCTTTGAAATTCACTCTCGTATATCACCCCCCCCCTTCTTGGTGGTTAAGCATTAGCGCTTATAACGCTAAAATTCGAGGTTTCATCTTGCGATTTGCTCAGCATAGATAGCCCATTGTGCAGTTTCACGCTTAACAACAAAGATTGGTATTGTTACGACAGCGGTAGTCACGTGACCATGGTAACACGTCATGATATTCTCGAAGGATCGGGGAACATCACGAAAAATCCAGTATGTGCTAGGCGCCCTCTATTCCTGTATATAAGTGCGCTGGTTAACGTGAGACTAATCAATCAATCGGAATTGAACAGCAGACAGGCAGAGATAGAGACGGACAATTGAGTCAAGCGCGGTAGTGACCGTAAGTAAGTGCGTAAATCATTGTGAATTATAGCGTGTGTTTAAAGTGACTGTGGAAATTAAAGTGCAACGTTGAATTGAGAAAGAATAAAATAGTTTTATTTAAGAAAGGACTTGTATCACTGAAGTTTCTCGGGAAGACTTTCTACGGAAAATTAACAAACGAACATAGAGACGTAACAGTATATATATGCACACCTTTACAGACCATAAAATTTGGGCTTTGGGACACTTGAGACCCTTTCGATATTCTGTCTTCAAGAGAAAACGATCCAAGCTCATAAATCACAACAATGCAGAACTGTGAAATTAAGCAGAAATCATACAACTTGTACATACATATGATTAGATATTTCAATAGACTTCACACTTCCATATACACTTTGATTCAACAGCATGTTACATGGTGTTAAAATGACAGGTACTTTTTGTGCATGTTATAAATGTTAAACACATAAAATAATTAATAATTAACACATGTAAGCATACTCATCATTCTTATTCTTTCAAATATTCGTGATTTTATTGCTAACTATTTTCTGAATACCATATTTTCAACATTTCGTTTAAAACATATTACATTATGTTGTACACGTATGGAAACATATAGTAAGTTCTTACACGTAGTAGTGCCCGGCATGGCCAGGTGGATAAGGCACTCGACTCACAATCTGAGGGTCGCGGGTTCGAATCCGCATCCCACCAAACGTGGGGGCGTTATAATGTGACGGTCAATCCCACTATTCGTTGGTAAAAGAGTAGCCCAAGAGTTGGCGGTGGGTGGTGATGACTAGCTGCCTTCCCTCTAGTCTTACACTGCTAAATTAGGGACGGCTAGCGCAGATAGCCCTCGTGTAGCTTTGCGCGAAATTCCAAAACAAACAAACAAATACACGTAGTAGGCCTAGCATGGTCTGGTGGCTAGAGCGCTCAACTCCAAATCTGCGGCCGCGAGTTTGAATCCCACCAACAAATATACTTGCACTGTCAGCCGTGAGGAGGAGGTGTTATAATATGACTGTCAATTCTACTTTTCGCTGGCAAAAGAGTAGCCCAAGAGTTGGTGGTGGGTGTTGTTGACTAAATTGACTTTCCTCTAGTCTATCACGTTTAAATTATAGACGGTTAGCGCTGATAATCCTCCAGTAGCAGTGCGCGAAAAATTATAGTATTGTTACGTCTCTGGTCGTTAGTTAATTACTCGTAAAAATTGATTCCGAAGAACTTCAGCGATACAAGGCCTTTCTCAAATAAAACTAGTTTCTTCTTTCTCAATTCAACTTTGCAATACACTTAATTTCCACAGTCCCTTTAACTTAAACACACGCAATAATTCTCAACGAACGATTCACACACTTTATTTACTACCGCGCTTGACTCAATTGTCCATCTATATCTTCAATCTCTCTGTCTGCTATTCAATTGTTGGCAACACTTTATTTACCGTCCTATATACTATAAGAGCGTCATTCTAGCAACCGCTAGGATGTTCGACAAGTTCCTCGATCTTTGTAGATACTCATCACGTATTACCAGCATCACGTGACCTCCGCTGTCGTAACAGTATACAAATTTACGTAACATTCCCGCTCATTTCATCGTTCAGGTTACCCTTTGTGTTTCAAAATTATTGATTCCGCATACTGAGAATTAAATTTGAATATTATTTCTTTATTCTAAGTAAACAAGAACATATATTTTTCAAGGAAAAAGAAATATATTTATATAAAGATTTTACACTTAGCTCATTTACCACACCATTACGAGAAAAACAAGATTAATTAACGATTTCAAAACAATTCAATAATAACTGAAAATTGTTAATGTTCGGAATCTACAGAATGAAATCAAAATTACAAGAAACTTAACGTTAATTTTGTTATCAAATCTCGAAACTCCATCTCGTTACTTATGCCCAAACTGGTTCGTTACGCCACTGCTCGAAATTGAGTCGTGGAATCAAGGTACTGTTACATGACACCAGGGGGTTCCTGCAAAAAACAAACAAACATATATAATGAAACATAACTAATCATTTAAAATAATACTTAATCCAACAAATATAAATAAAATAAATGTGTTCCTCTTCGGTTGAATATTATGCTCTTGCTCGGGTGAATAAAACTGTCTATTAATTAAACTGAACAAAAATTCAAGCCTATCACATAAACGGCTAAACTATTTTGATACGCCGGTGAAACAGCGGTAAGTTTATGGACTTACAACGCTAAAATCCGGGGCTCGATTCCCCGCGGTGGACACAGCAGATAGCCAAATGTGGCTTTGCGCTAAGATAACCAACTAAACTACTTAAATAAAATACTGTGTCAGATTACACGCGATAAAACTTCGTGTGTATCTAATGAAAGTCCTAGGGTTATTCAAAATGCCACACATATTCTTAACTCAACCTTATAATGATAAATAGCTTAATTTTCTTCGACATCAAGTCTAAATGTGTACCTAGTTTTTGAATTCAAATAAAACAAAGTAAGAAAACGACCCTGTAGAAGTTATTTCCATTTAAATTAACTTAAATAAAAAAAACATTAAAAACTATTTGTTTAATTAACATTTTGTCATATATTGCTAATCATAAAGTTTAGAAGAACAATTTGAATGAAAATTTATCTACAAATAGAATAATTAACTAGCTTCGTCCCTGAATGATGCGCAAGCCCTTGACTAAGTAACCTTGATATGCGAATTTCAAGGACATTCGTCAGTAATTTCCACCAACGTTTACCATCTGGTATTACTACCTGTAAGGGAAAAACTCATTGTTTCTGCTGTGATCTTGACCTTTACATTTCATATTTTATCTTCAGAAAACATTTCACTCCCACAAAATAAGCTAAAGAAAATATTACATTTCTGTCCTGACCTTAAACTTCTTGCTATCATTATTTATACTACACAAAAAACGTCTCGTGTGACATTTAAATGATTATCGTCAACATATAGTTTTCGCTGATCTCGTCGAATTTGTTAACTTTATATGAGGTGAAACTTTCTTCTATAACCTTAACCTTTGACAAACTGCAATCACACCTACTAAAACTTGATCCTGAAATACATCTAATCTTTAATTTCAATTTGAACCAACGTTAAGTTATTTTGTTTTACACAAATTGTTCATACACATATATAATACATCACAATACATATACGTCGTATTTCAGGTGTAATTCCTCACCATAGCTTTCATAAGTGAATTACACTTAGAAATCTTGATACATTATTAACTAGTTTTTTAAAGCTGAGCTTCATGATTATTAGTACAATAATTTCAACTACCTCTAAATGAAAATTAGTTTAATTTTGACAAGCCTGACATACATGATTCTTATTAAAACTTATATTTTGCAAAAACATTTAAAACATGTTTTGTAGTTGCGTTCACACTCACCAGGGATCTCTGGGTTGCAAAAATGCTAGTGGTTGCATTCTCTGGAACATATCACTGTTGTCACAAATGATTCGAGCGAGACTGGATTTTCTAATTTCCGTTAGCTGAGCTGAAAGGTTATAAGATAGTTTCTGAGAACTTTACAAAGTCGCTTGTATGATATATAAGTACAGTTGATAACAAAGTTTCCTGTGTTTTAGCGATTTATTCCAGAAGTTTTAAACCACCAATTCTCTGGAACATATCACTGTTGTCACAAATGATTCGAGCGAGACTGGATTTTCTAATTTCCGTTAGCTGAGCTGAAAGGTTATAAGATAGTTTCTGAGAACTTTACAAAGTCGCTTGTATGATATATAAGTACAGTTGATAACATAGTTTCCTATATTTTAGTGATTTATTCCAGAAGTTTTGAACTACTAATTCTCTGGAACATATCACTGTTGTCACAAATGATTCGAGCGAGACTGGATTTTCTAATTTCCGTTAGCTGAGCTGAAAGGTTATAAGATAGTTCCTGAGAACTTTACAAAGTCGCTTGTATGATATATAAGTACAGTTGATAACATAGTTTCCTATATTTTAGTGATTTATTCCAGAAGTTTTGAACTACTAATTTTTGGCTTTACGAAGAAACGAAGCAAATCATATATTGATAGAGCCAAACTCGCGGCTTATAATTCTTTTTGTACTTTTTCCTTTGCTCCAGCTATTAAAGTTTAAATTACATAAATGAAAAAGTAATACGTACAAATGCAATTGTACGTGTGTGTTGATAAAAGTTACCAATCATTTACAGAGCTGGACTTATCACTATTTCCATGTTAATGGTTCTGAGTATTTCGAAAATTATTGTTAAACTAGAAACATTTTCGATAAAACTATTAGGCAAAATAAACGAATTCGCAGTTGATCGAAATATTTTAAACTCTGATTTTTTGTTTCAACTTTAGCTGCACAATATGCTATCTGTGCCCTGCCCACCACAGATATCGAAACCCGGTTTCTAGTGTTATACGTCCGCAGACATGTCGCTGTGCCACTCGTGGGCTTTAACTCTGAAGTCTGATTAATACATTTTTATTTAAATAGACTCAAAATAAATTAACTCGTAACAAAGTCTACAGAAATGTCATTAATATTTCTTGATTTTTGAGACACGAAATAAAACTTCTTGTTCGTAATCATTTTTAGTATGAAACACATATATATGCATGTCTATGTACAATTGTTGCAACTGTGCTAATTTAGAACTATTAACAAAAATTATGAAGTCCCATAAAATTCTGGACAACTTCTTGAAACGTTCGGAAACTAAATGTTAATAGTTCACACATACATACATAAGATCCTTATCACAGACTAGGCCTGCCGTCAAACATATTTGAAATAAGCAAACGATATCCAGGAAACAGAACCCCTTCAATGTAAAGATAGTGTTTAATAGTTGTGCAGTGCATATATATCTAAAGTAGTTGAAGTGGGTGGTTTTATCTTCTTCATAGATATCTATATAATTATTATTATTAGCCAAGAAAGTATTTGGACAAACTATGATAGAACTGTTTTACATACCTTCGGTAAAGGACGACTCCAAACCACCGTTTTCGAACCAGAACCGATCTCCTAGCTTCAATCTCCGAAACTGATCAGCCACAATACACGCAAAAGTAGGCCCTAAGGTGGCGCCAGGAAGAGAATTTTCGGGAATACCAGCTGGGAATAAGTCTATATCGTCGACGTTTCTAAATAAGTACAAACAAACTCTTATGAATTTTAGCGTAGCTTTGCCAGACAGGTTTTGTAACTTGTGTGTTTTTAAAGCAAAGCCATATTGGGCCACCATCTGTATCCATCGCGGAGAATAGAACCCCGTATTTTAACGTTATAAGTCCGTAGACTTACCGCTGTCCCATTGGGGGACTTCAAGAGACTGTAATTACTTCATTCCAAGCTACGTATATCACATTTAATGGAACATCCGAATTTCTTTTATATGTAACTTAATTTTAAGCTTAATCAAACATTTTTAAAAAATACTTCCGTTATTTATACTTTTTGATTAACATGCAATTTTAAAACTATATATATTAAAGGTTTTTAAATCATCGACATACTTAGATATTTATGAACGAGCTAAGGAACAAACATTTAATAAAGTTGGAGAAATATAAATATTTGAATTTAATTAAATTCCCATCATGTCGTGGTAAATGAAATTATAAATCTCTTTAAATTTGTTTCTTTGGTTTGATTCTTTGTTTAGAACTAAGCTTCACAATAGGCTATCTGCTCTGCCCACCACGGATATCGAAACCCGGTTTCTAGCATTGTATGTCTGGAGATATGTCGCTGTGCCACTGAGGGGCATCTCTTTAAGTATCAGTTGTTTCGGTCAAATGAAATTATCCAACGAACGTTACGAAATTTTTTCTTTTCAAAATTCAGTAAAAATATAGAGAAAGAAAACAATTTTACGCCCTTGAGTCATTGGTGTTTTAAATTAAAAGAAAAGAAGTCGGTGAAAATGAAGAAATACAATCCTACTTTCAGTTGTTTACAAAATTCGGTAAAAATATAGAGAAAGAAAACAATTTTACGCCCTTGAGTCATTGCTGTTTTAAATAAAAAGGAAAAGTCGGTGAAAATGAAGAAGTACAATCCTACTTTCTATTGTTTACAAAATTCGGTAAAAATATAGAAAACAATTTTACGCCCTTGAGTCATTCATTATGAGACAAATATCAACATAGTTCATTAATCAATGAAGTTATTAATATATTAAAGTTTTATATACGTGGCCAATAACCTTTAATACTGAATTTTGTAAACAACTAAAAGTAGGATTGTACTTCTTCATTTTCACCGACTTTTCCTTTTTATTTAAAACAGCGTTGAAAATACCTGTAAAGGTTGCTAAAAGCTTCAGCCGAATTTGGATTCATCCATTGTACTAGATCTCTAAATGTTTGAGCCTTTGGTAGTCCACAGTGTTCTCTCCAAGCATTATAACCTGGAAGTCCATGATCCCGACCACGTTGAATGTTTAAAGCAACAAGATCCATTCCGAAATCTTTACCATGAGGTTGGAAAAGGTGATTAGTTAGCTGTGTAAATAACAGAGATATTACAACAATTAGATCATTTAATATATACTTCACGTATGTTGACCACACACGATTTTTCTCTATTGCACACGTAACTAAGACATAATGATCCAACTAATATAAATAGTGAGCTGTTGGCTTCAACAGTGTATGAATTGAGAGCGTAAACGGTTATGCCTTGTAAATGTTGAACTTTAAAAGTCCTTTTTTCACTAAGAGTTACAAAATGATATCAAGGAAATGATCTGTTTTTAAATGCTCAGATATTACCTGCAACAAAACTGCAGCGAATGAAAATGCAAAGTTGCACGATTACGTGTTTCGATCAGTGTATTTGAGTTAATAAGATATCTAGACCAACCTGATCAGAGACAAATGAATCAAACTTTTGAGAAGGCTGTCTGACTAAACCTCGCAAAAATGAATCCAGATTTCCACGCAGAGGAAGAAGTTCAGGGTTGAAGAAAGCATTAGAAAGGGGTACTCTGTCCACTAGTGTATTACTTTTATCGAAGAGATTCAGTATGCCCTGAAAATAAAATTTCTTAAGTTTTAGTTTACGTCTTAACACCAAAAGGTTATACAATAATGTGCTCACTTGACAACACATTCAGTTAAATTGTTTCGTGATTTCAATACTGACGACTAGATACCTTCTTACCTGTACAAGAGTATGACCATATCGATAGGCTGCTGCAGCAAAGGAATTAGCAATACCAGGGTTGATTTGTGAATTGTAACTATTGCTGAATCCAGATGGTTTTAGCAACAAATCGAACGCTTCCATTACGGGTTTGCCTAATATTTTCAAGTAGAAATGAATGAATAATAGTGAAAGTTACTCAAGCGAATTAATTCATTAATGTTTTATCACATATAGTGATAATAAATTACATAAATTCATTAGTTTTTAATTTAAAAGGCTTAATCTAAAAACGTTCACACAATATCTGTTTATAGTTTCGGAAGGTACAAACTATATTAAATCAATATGATAACTTTCTTTGTTCATTCAGCATCTCACGGTAAAACATTCCTTACCTTATTCATTCAGCATCTCCCAGTAAAACATTCCTCACATTGTTCATTCAGCATCTCACGGTAAAACATTCCTTACATTGTTCATTCAGCATCTCCCAGTAAAACGTTCCTTACCTTGTTCATTCAGCATCTCCCAGTAAAACATTCCTTACATTGTTCATTCAGCATCTCCCAGTAAAACGTTCCTTACCTTGTTCATTCAGCATCTCCCAGTAAAACATTCCTTACCTTGTTCATTCAGCATCTCCCAGTAAAACATTCCTTACCTTGTTCATTCAGCATCTCCCAATAAAACATTCCTTACCTTGTTCATTCAGCATCCCCCAGTAAAACATTCCTTACCTCGTTCATTCAGCATCTCCCAGTAAAACATCCCTTACTTTGTTCATTCAGCATTTCACGGTAAAACATTCCTTACCTAACATTAATGGTAATAATTCGTTGAAGACTATGTGTTGCATCTCTGCGCCCACAACACGTCGAGCTTCTTGGTAAAGAATCTCATCATTCCATCCTGGGTTGTAATAAGCCAACAATCTCGCTACTCTGTTATGTTCTCTCATCCAAATGGTGTGGAGAAGAGCTAAGTTAATTTGCTCGTTAACACGCTCATCACCTGTTCAGGCCAATTGTAATACTATTAATTTAAAAATTTCTTCTTTTTTTATATCAGTATACGTATGCTTATCAAATTTTGTCAAAACAACAACGATATAAGTGCACACAACTACGTGATTATACTTTATTAACGTTGTGCATTCTGCATTAAAATAACTTAAATGCAATATTTGAACTCTTTTTCTTATTTTAGTTCTCATTTTCACCTTCCCTCTTTGTTTATTATTAAAACTTGAACCTGAAGATAAATTAGTTCGTATCATCTTACTTCAAGAAGTAAGCCAGATATAATAATGGTTGGAGACGGCTTGAATGGATAATGAAGAAAAACTTTAATATAAGTTTAACACAACAGCAAATGAACAACGTTCCGACAAGGTTTTGTCATCATCATTTGGTACCTGATGATGACAAAGCCTTGTCGAAACGTTGTACATTTTCTGTTATGTTAAACTTATATCAAAGCTTTTCTTCATTACCCATTCAAGCCGTCTCCAATCATTATTAGTCTCAAAGTGGGTTCCACGTCATCGAATTTGAAAGCCAGATATAAGTTTGAATTTTCATTTTCCTTAAAATTCGTTGTAAAATACAATAATTGTTGCAATACATAATGTTATTAACATCATATGTACAGCGTGAATGCTATGTTATATATTACAATAAACAATACTGAATACGTCAGCAGTTCCCTTCACTCAACTAGAAACGTTAATTGTTACATTGTAAAGCGAGATATGCATGAACCATTAAACATTATAGAGCTAGACACGTTAACCATTACGAAGTGCAGTATTAGATCAGTTAACTATCACGTTGCATAATACTTTAGCAGTTACTCGTTAAAGGAAACTACTTTATTTCCCGGATTTATTTGCAGCAGGTAAACTAATCTCGTAATTAGCTAGTGATATCGTCTCAAAATCGTTTCTAGCCACAGGTTTATTCCTTACTCAATTATCCGAAGGATAAGGTTGTATCATGATTTAAATTGTAATCATTTAAAGTGAAAGAAAAGAAACATACCTGCTTTAAAGCAGAAAAAGTTATTGTTGCCCTGAGACATCTGACACTCGGCGTTTTGGTCGTTTTCTGTAGGTAAGAGGTCAGAATTTCCTATACGTAAAACTTTCATTTGTCCTGTCAAAACCAGTAGTAAGGAATCAGAACGTGTAAATAAATTAGAAATATTCGTTTATTAATAATTTTAACATCTAGTTTTAATACTCCGAAGTTGCCAAACTAATTAATTAAAATTAAGCTTTATAACGGAATACATAAGTGTACTTGTAAACATACATCTGCAGAGATAAACCCATCAACCTTACACATTTATAACCATACACTCAGTTATATTTATTTTACAAAATTAAGCTTTATAACGGAATACATAAGTGTACTTGTAAACATACATCTGCAGAAATAAACCCATCAACCTTACACATTTATAACCATACACTCAGTTATATTTCTTTTACATATGAAACTTACTTATTCCTTCTCATGCTTTTTCCAATAAAAATATTATTAATTTCGTTAAAGCATTAAGCCATGAGTTCTATCAAATTTTAAAATATTTCTGAAATAGAAGTACGGTCACTAGAGCAAACACTATTTGTTTGAAGATCCGCTTTGTGCTATAAGTGAGTTAGCTAGTTTTAAACCTAAATGATGCAAATTCAAATGTAGGTTGTATTAATGAAACGTTTCAACACAACTTATTAAAATGCCACCAAAAACACCAATGGACAACATTTCGATGATACGAAAAAAAAGTTACATATTTTTTGCTTATAACTATACTTCTAGAGTTTGAAATGCCCATAAATATTTTATTAAATGCAGTTGTTTGGCATACCATCACTGAAACTTCTAAGTTCTTTCTCTTCTTCTTCTGTAGACCCGTAGACGTTGGATGCATCAATAAAAGCCGTAATCTGGTTTAGTTGTTCGCGTGGACCTAAGAGGAAAACGTATGGCTTAGATACGAGTTGACCAACTGGCGATCCCAAAAGCAGTTCCGACCAAAATGACAAATAAATAAATATGTACCACAGCTAAATGTAGAACTTGTAGTACCTTTGTCTTACAGGCTTACTTACTTAATCCTTGCTATCTATTACTGTATTCCTTTGGCGTTTAATATAAATAAACTTGAATACAGTCATGATACAATAACTGGTGTTGGTCCCTAAAACCGCATTCAAAATAATATGCGACCCGCCATTGGCACAAAATTGGACAGCCACATGCTTATATCATCAAATGCGTAATAATAATGAAAATTAAAATGATACTTAGAAATGCATTGATGGCTCAGATATTCTTTATTGTTTAATATCATATAAGCTTAAGAAAATCATTGCACTTTTGTGACAGATAAACGCAAGTCTCCTAATAGAAATTTGCGTTTTATATTTACTTTTGAAGAGAGTTAAATATAGATCTAATGTCTAAGATTCTCACCGAATGAACAACGTGGACGTGGTGCTGGAAGCGATCTAACAAATTCCATGCACGTCTCACCATAGCGTGAGTAGAAGCGATCGGTTCTGGAAATGGCGATCTCGAAGCAAGCTGGATGACGGAGTCTAGGGTTTCTCAGAATCTCTTCTCTGCAGCACACTATACCACTACCGTCTCTTGCTGATAAAGGCAAATGAATATACAGTTTATTCTAGCTTTAGTTTTCAATTTGTTTATGAACAAATAAGATTTTTAACAATCGAACTCTGCCTTAACCTGAGAGTGTTTTCTAAACCACTTTCAGCCCATTAAAGCCAGGATTTTGTTATCTTTACAGCAAATTTATCAGAATACAGCTTATTTTATGATAAATTACACGATTAAACGATATCGGGCTTTCCTGAAAGAGAGGAATACTTACGAAGGTACAGTACGTTTCGTAAAGTTAGTGGGAATGATTTTTCGTTGAAAGTTGGCTTCTGTCCATCAGTTATTCTAGTGCCATTTCAGAGAGAACACACTGCTTTTCTTTTTAAAAAAACGCCTATACTAGTTGCTCAAACTCCACATGTATGTCAGAAACGTCAATTCGAAGCTGGTTTTCAAATGCAGTCGCAAAATGTATGGAATGTTAACAGTACACTGAGTGGTCACAAGTAAATAGACACCTAATTTTTCGTCATTTAACTGATTTATGCTAACTAATTTGTGTTCACAGAGCACTATATAGATGAAAATGGTCCGCACACTAATTATCGTGTGCTACAACATGCCTACAACTCAAGGTTCTCTCGAATTGTCAGATTTTGTTAGAGGAAGGATAGTTGGTCAAGCAGATGGTGGAATGAGTCAGCGGCAAATTTCGCAGAA